ATATATATATATATGTATAAGGAATATATATATATATTGTATTAACTCAATCTATATTAATGAAAGGAAAAACATGCTTAAAGTTTAGTAAATAGTGTATGTGCGAAATCGTAATTTAAAGAAGTTCTAGAAAAGGTTGTGACGATTATGACGCCAAATGTGTTTGTAAAAATTTATTATCGATATAAATAAAAGAAAAATCGAGTTTTAGTAACCACTAAGAAAACTTTAAGATGACCTTGTTGGTAGGAATAGATAAACAAAGAATCTTGAAGCCTTATTTGGGCGGATGGCGACATAAAATTACCGGAGTAACATATTTAAATGCGGCTTCTCAAACTGGACCTTTGTCAAAACGAGGTCCGCGGAAGAACACATGCAGCAGAGCGGTGCAATGTGTGCAAACGAATGACGGAGCGACACAAACACTGCATCATCGTGCGACACAAATGTGGCGGTATTAAACATTTAAATAAATTTATACAATATCCAGTCTTTTCAAAGCATATAATATCGCATCTAATTGCATAATTTATGGAAATAATATATTAAGTAACAATCAAATTTTGTTCCCTTATATGTATATTGTCACATTTGTAATAATATGTAATTTATTACAAATTATTTTAGTGATTACTGAGCAATTTAAAAAATATTAAAAACTTTAATATTAATTGAAATAAAGAATTTTTTCATTAATAAATTTAAATAACAAGAATAAAATTTTATTTTTACTTAATCCATAATTGGTAATTATTTATATATCTTAATTTATATATTTTTTTTAATTTAATATTTCTTATATTATCTTTATTATATATTAATTTACAATTAAATTATATAATAATTTTGTAACAAAAATAATTAAAATAAATATCTGGTTGTATACTTATTATCAGAAAGCTAATAGTGACAACTATATAATATATAGGTGATAACTGTACAAAGGTAGGACACTTTTTCACTATTGATTCAAATGATCAACTCTGAATTAGTTTTTAAATGATTCAAGCATATATATCTGACAGCGATTTTAGTAACGATATCAATATAAAGATTTTATTCTTTATTTCCATGTACAAATGTTTTCTTGAGTGTCATGATAATTTTCGGTTTCCATAAAGGAAAATTTAATACATGAGAAAATATAGAAATAAAACGATTTTCAAATGGTCGCGAAAAAGTAAAAGTTATACTCTTCTTTTATAAATTATGTATTTAGTTAAGGTACATAATTAAATAAAACATTTTATAGCTGCGATAATCATTAGTTTATTTTATATATATATATATATTCTGCACATAGTATAGTTGCCTCTGCCATATCTCTCTCTCTCTCTCTCTCTCTCTCTCTCTCTCTCTCTCTCTTTCTAAATGTATATATTGTATTTTTAAATTAATTTTTAAAAAATGATTTTAAATCTCTGAAGAAATTGTAATATTTATAAGAAAATGATATACTTACAAATGTAAATGGCGTTAACTGAATATTTTGTGCTATTAATTTAGATATGACTATTATGTACCTAACAAAGCAGATAAATACATGACTACTGTAAAGTCTTATGAGAGTTACGTTGATATGCAGCTTAATTTAGATCGGCATGCATGTGTAATTCAAAGAAATTATCGGGCATATAAATGGAGAAAATACATTAAAGAATGCGCACGAGCTTATCGCGAGATGCTTGAGAAATGTGAAAAATATGAAGAAGAGAAAGCCGTTGCAAACAAGTAATTCATGATATGAACTATTCAATGTGAAAAAAGAAATGTTTATTAAAACTTTTAAATTAAATTTATAAATAGAGTACACATAGGTGAATTCTAAACTCAGGTTCTTCGGGGGGGGGGGGGGACGG